TACGTAGTAGTAGTAGAGAGAGAGAGAGAGAGAGAGAGAGAGGTTATGTGTGATATTAGATAAGATTCGATGAACTTATGAGTACTTAATTTTCTTATTTCAATGTGAATGACTTTATTATGATCTTATCAATCCTCCCTTTCCCTCAATGAGTTAATCTGCCCTCTGTATCATACTTTATCAATGAGTATATCGTATGATTTTATCTTTTTTCTTATTTCTCAATCAAACACAAGACTAAATGGTCTTTATCCCTCGACTACTTGCTTCATGGGTTCAATGATTGCATCTGCATGTATGAATCAAGTAGTTCATATTGACCTTCTTAAAGATGCTATTGTGATCTGCGTTGGTGCATGACTTCACGGAGTGAGTTGATACAAGTGATAGGAGAGCAGTAGAGTGAGCATGGCGCAGCAGCTCCAAGTCCTCAGCGCGCTCGACGCCGCCAAGACGCAGTGGTACCACTTCACTGCCATCGTCATCTCCGGCATGGGCTTTTTCACCGACGCCTACGACCTCTTCTGCATCTCCCTCGTCACCAAGCTCCTCGGCCGCATCTACTACCACGTCGACGGCTCGCCCACCCCTGGTATCCTCCCTCCCCAGGTCTCCTCCGCCGTCAACGGCGTCGCCTTCGTCGGCACCCTCTCCGGTCAGCTCTTCTTTGGCTGGTTGGGCGACAAGCTGGGCCGCAAGCGCGTCTATGGCATGACCCTCATGCTCATGGTCCTCTGCTCCGTCGCCTCTGGGCTCTCCTTCGGCCACTCCCCAAAGGGCGTAATGGCCACCCTCTGCTTCTTCCGCTTCTGGCTCGGCTTTGGCATCGGCGGCGACTACCCTCTCTCCGCCACCATCATGTCGGAGTACGCCAATAAGAAGACCCGCGGTGCGTTCATCGCCGCCGTCTTCGCCATGCAGGGCCTCGGCATCCTCGCCGGCGGGATGGTGACCATCGCTGTCTCCACCGCGTTCAAGAACAGGTTCCAGGCTCCTCCCTACGCCGTCGACCCTGCGGGCTCGACCGTCCCCGAGGCGGACTACGTGTGGCGGTTGATCCTCATGTTCGGATCGTTACCGGCGGCGCTGACCTACTACTGGCGGCTGAAGATGCCCGAGACTGCGCGATACACCGCCCTCGTCGCGAAGGACGCGAAGCAGGCGGCGTCGGACATGTCCAAGGTACTCCAGGTCGAGATCGAGGAGGAGCAGTCGACGGTGGAGCAGATCGCCAAGGCGCCGACGAACACGTTTGGCCTCTTCTCGAAGGAGTTCCTCCGCCGCCACGGCCTCCACCTGCTCGGCACCACCACCACCTGGTTCCTCCTCGACATCGCCTTCTACAGCCAGAACCTGTTCCAGAAGGACATCTTCAGCGCCATCGGATGGATTCCCAAGCCCGCCACCATGAACGCGCTCGAGGAGGTCTTCCGAATCGCCCGGGCGCAGACCCTCATTGCCCTCTGCGGCACGGTGCCCGGTTACTGGTTCACGGTCGCGCTCATCGACGTCATCGGCCGCTTCACGATCCAAGTCCTCGGCTTCTTCATGATGACAGCGTTCATGCTCGGCCTGGCCATCCCCTACCACCACTGGACCACCAAGGGAAACCACATCGGCTTCATAGTCTTGTACGCATTCACGTTCTTCTTCGCCAATTTCGGGCCCAACAGCACCACCTTCATCGTCCCGGCGGAGATCTTCCCCGCGCGGCTCCGGTCGACGTGCCACGGCATATCGGCGGCTTCCGGGAAGCTGGGCGCGATCGTGGGTTCCTTCGGCTTCCTGTACTTGGCGCAGAACCAGGACCCGGCCAAGGCCGACCGCGGCTACCGGGCCGGCATCGGGGTGAGGAACTCGCTCTTCCTGCTCGCCGGCTGCAGCCTCCTTGGGCTCGCTTGTTCCTTCCTGGTCCCGGAATCGAAAGGCAAGTCGCTCGAGGAGATGTCCGGCGAGACCGAAGGCGAGGAACAGGTGGCGGCCGGACCCAACAGGACTGTCCCAGTGTAGTAATCATCGCGTTATTTGTTCTTGCTGCTCTCGCACCTTCTCTGTTATCTCATGTTAATAAGAATGTTGTATTTGTTTAGGATAAGCCCATTGGGCCGATCTGCTTCGCAGTGACCACGACTCATGCCACACCTTCAATCAGAAAACCAACGAAATAACCGAGACGCGCTTCAAAACCTCCTCCGTTGACCATACATACGACGACTGATGTCACACCTTCAATCAGAAAACCAACGAAATAACCGAGACGCGCTTCATAACCGCCTCCGTTGACCATACATACGACGACTGATGTCACACCTTCGATCAGAAAACCAACGAAATAACCGAGACGCGCTTCAAAACCTCGTACGTTGACCATACATGCCACGGCTCATGTCACAGCTTCAATCAGAAAACCACCGAGCCGCGCTTCAAAATTACCTGCGTCGACCGACGTCCAACCTGCGGGGCCCGTTACGCAGCAGCCAACGGAATCGATCCATCTCAGTCCATGGTGTGCTCCCCGGCCGGGTAGCGTACGCCACCTGGACGTTCAGATCGAGGAGCCTCCAGATGGACGGCCAGTGTGGCATCCTCGGCTTAAGCCCACCGTCCGTCAACCAAGTGGAGAGCAAGTGCGTGGCGTCGCTTTGCGCTGCGCGGCTTCGCGGTCCACCTCGACGAACGTCTCCATCAGGTATCAACGGTGATGATCCATCGAGCTGGTGGCTAACCCTTTCATCGGACGGCTATCGTGTTCCCTCTTCCTTGTAGTATCAATTAATTCTGTGCTTCCTCCTTACCAACCTTGCTTACTAAACTTTGCTTTTGCTGTCACCGGTTGCCTCACCTCTCTCTCTCTTTCTCTCTTTCTCAAGAAACTCCCTCTCTCTGGGAGAGGTGGGCTTTGGTGGGGGAGTGGAAACCTCTGTTCTGTGCATCTCTTTTTGCTTGCGATCGCGGTGGTCTTTGTTCCGGCATGGGTTCTCGCCGTCGCTCGTCGGGGATCCTTTGAGTTACTCTCTTCTCGGGAAGATCTACCCACTTCGACTAAGTGTTTTCTTCCGATTCGACGGCTTCTTGGTTTGACAATCGAGAAAGGTGAGATGAGTTTGAATTCGGACAAGCCTTGTTTGAGAATTGAAAGTTGTTTATCCCTTGAATTTGGGTTTGACCTTTGTTATGATTGTATCTAGGCTTTGCTCTTTGGTGGAGCAATTGGATTTTGAGGACTGTTTAGACTGGTTCCTGGTGGATAGTCAAAATCGCAATATTTAGTTCGATTGTGGATAAAAAGGAACGAATTTTGTTTCGTTTTAATTCGTTTATAGGTTCCTTGGGTTTAAATTGTAGTGAGTAGAGTTGTCTGGTCAAAGAATTTGTAGCGAGTCAGAGAAGATGGAATTTTAAAGAATTGTTCCTTTTTTATACAATCGTTTCTTATTCCTCCGTGTGATAATATGAATGGAAGGTGTTTTAATGTCACAAGGAACAGGTTTTTGTTCTTTTGCTGCTCACAAAGATGTCCTTGTATGGGAGCCAAAGTCGGTTGCAGGAATCCATTTTCGTTAGGACTAAAAGAGGAAACTTCCCGTGTAATTTTTCTTCTTGGGAAGAAAACCAGCATCCAGGGAAGCATGTATTTGGGATGGTGTCACTAATTCTACTTAGTTTATCTTTGTACCGAAATATAACTTGAAATTAAAAATATTAGTTGGTCTTTTTCCCTTCATTTAGGGTTTTGAAAAATGGACTTTACTGTTGATTGAACATAGTAGATCTAAGATTCAAATCTTCTTTAGCTAATATTAAATATCTACCAACCAATTTTAGGTTTTTTACATTTTGGAAATGAAGTGTTTCCCATTCCTAAATGGAGCATCGAAGGCGGAGCTCCAAGCAAGATTTTCTGCTTCAGTTCGGTCCAACAGTACAACATCAACTGAATGTAATGTGAGAAGATCAGGACCTGAGTTTAACACTGGGGATGTTTCCAGTATTGGTGCTGATTCCTTGGGAAGGTCACTGTACCCTAGCTTCTCCCAGATACCAAGCAATCTCAGGGTTTTCACATTTTCGGAACTAAGGAATGCCACAAGGAACTTTAGCAGGTCACTGATGGTTGGGGAAGGTGGGTTTGGATGTGTTTACAGGGGAACAATTAAGAGCTTCAAAGATCCAAATATGAGGATCGAGATTGCTGTCAAACAACTAAATCGTAAGGGGCTGCAGGCAAGTTTCTTTTTGCATATTTTCTTGCTGTCGCGGATTGTCATGTGCTATACATTGCTTGTTTCACTTAATAACTGTTTAATTTTATTTAGAAGTAAACTGAAGAATTACTTACATCATATGGATATATAAACATGCTGAGTTAAGGCTTAAAACCTCTACTTTTCCTAGTAAAACGTTTGATGATTTTTTAAAGGAATTTTGCCTTGGTACATAAGGAAGAGCATTTGAAATTTTATGCAAGTAAAATTTGAAGAAATCTATTTTGTCATCCTTAAGAGTAAGGTGCTAGTTAGAAATATAATATATTTCCAAATTAAAGCGTTATCAAAAGAGGGGAAGAGGAGGAGGAGGATACATGCCTGTGTGGACTAGGTGGGTGGCATGAGCAACATATACGAGAAGGATAAGGAGGAGGAGCAGGAAGAGGTGGATACATACCTGATAGACTAGTGGTGGTGGGTGGCATGAGCAACAGACAGGTGGCTGGGGGCGGCAAGGGATGTGAGGAAGGCGAGTGAGAGAGATCGAGAGAAAGGATGTGGGATGGGGGTTGTTTTAACCCTAAAGGTTAAATTTAAAAAAAGAAATGGGCTTACTGCCAGGTTTAGGAGGGTTGGCACCTGGCAATCAATGAATTGGCCATCCGAAAGGGGTGTTCTGCATGCTAGTTCAAGTTTGGACTGGTAAATATCGCCTAGTAGGTACTGGTCAGTGAAATTAGGAACCATGCTGTAAATATCTGCATACCATTCTTTTTCCTCTTGTTAGTGTTTTTGTGTTTGTATATCTGTTGAACATTCTGACATCAGCACCTTGTGTGTGACTGAAGGAGGTTTCAAGTATATGATGTTTCTGACCAGTGAACATGAGAAAAGTTGTATCTTTAAGCATGCCCAGAGGCCATATCTCTTTTCCAATACACTTCATTCGTAGTGTTGACTGTCTATGTTACATTATGCAAGAAAATCATACATATCAGACACGGATTGTTTACTGAATGGTACTAACTAAAAACTACCCTTTTATTGACCCCTTTGGTTTTATGTGATCTTTTTAGTTTAATTTTTTTGAAAATGATTTTGTTCCATTTATATGTGTGTTCATATGTATGGTGAGGAATCTTCATTGTACTATTCCTTGTAGGGGCACAGAGAATGGTTGAATGAAGTTAATGTTCTTGGGGTGGTTGAGCATCCGAATCTTGTCAAATTAATAGGTTATTGTGCTGAAGATGATGAAAGGGGAATACAACGGCTTCTGGTATATGAGTATATGCCAAATGGAAGTGTAGAGGACCATCTGTCACGTCAATTTAAGACAATACTTTCTTGGTCCATGAGACTAAGGGTAGCTCTTGATGCTGCTCGTGGATTGACATACTTGCATGAACAAATGGATTTCCAGGTTACAAATCAACTTATCTATTATTTTTTATTACATGGTTGACATGTCGATTTTTTATATCATGCATCATGGTTCTTACAACTGTGAGTTAATCTTTTAACTTGTACATTCTGTTACTCTACTTTTTATTTGTCATAATTGGATATGTTTCTATAAGGCGATGATTCTTGTAATTTTTATGCTTCAGTTTTGTACTTGCTGTTCAAAAATTTATAGACGAGAAAGTCTTAAAACTATGAACTTATTAAGGCTAAATTAAGAAATGAAATTTAGACCTTGGAGTCACTGCAATTTCTGAAAAATAGGTTGAACATTGCTTCTTGTGTGGCTAGAAAGTGATTATGTTTGTGCTTTCTCCACCGTTTATCTATGTCTATATAATAGGGAGAGTGAGACTTCAAAGAGGAACTGGGAGCTACCGAACAACTTGCATTCACATTTATATCAAGTTTGTGGTTTTTGGTATTATCAAGTTTTAATAACTTGTATATGATGTTTAGCTCCAGATTTGCTCAGCGGTGACCATTACTTCACCTGGACTTTTTGTTCGCATTTGTCTAGATAAATGAAAACTGTAGCACAAAATTGGAGACCAGATGTTTACATTGGACCCCACTTTTATTGTTATACAAAGAATAGAGTCAATAGGCATATTTCTTTCTTGTCATTTTCGTATTTTTAAATTTCATTAGGTAGTATGTCGATCAGTGTTAAGAAAATAGTTCTTTCTCCCAACTCTTGATTTCTAGTTGTTAAGATCCTAAACTTGGTCTTCTATTTTGGGATGCCTGCATCAATCCTTAGCATGGAACCACCATCAAAATTCAACGAGGAAGAACAAGATAAGGACACAACTTATGATGGTGGCAATAGAACCTTTATATCAATCTTTACATCTACTATTGAGTCTGATAATTTCAGATTCAGACACAACCTGACTTGCCTACAGGTCATGCTTGACCAGTATCTTTTCATGAACATAGTTCATCCCTTTAAGTAGATTGGAGCCTTTCTGGATATTTCAGGTCAAGAGCTGCCACTGCTGAATTGACTCTTCTAAGTTCTTGAAGCCTACAAGACAGTTACTTTTTTGCTTGAATGACAACATTTTCTTGTATTTGTCAAAAACAGAAGACAGTAATTTTAACATTTGAGTTTATTTATCATTTGCTCAAGAAACTACTAAAATAGACTTTGATATAACCTAAAGATCATTTTTGCCAAATATTTCTACCAAAAATGTTAATCTCACTTATTACATCAGATTGTTTTATGTTATTTGGCAGATTATATTCCGAGATTTTAAAAGCTCCAACATTCTTTTGGATAAAGACTGGAATGCAAAATTGTCTGACTTTGGCTTGGCTAGACAAGGACCAACAGAAGGAATTAGTCATGTTTCAACAGCAGTAAGTGATGTCAAAATGCCAACGGTTCACGCTTCATCACAACTCTTTTCAATGCTTTGCAAAAATATTTTGAATTGTGTATGTGGTTCTTTTATCTTTGTTTTATAGATAGACGTGAAAGAATTAAGAAAATTTAATTTTCCAATCCATAACCACCATAACCAGGCTGATGGCATCCTGGTGTCTACATGATTACAAGTGCACAAATGCCTTTGTGGTTATATTCAATAATCAGATTTTGTTTGAAGTTATGGATAAATTATGCTGTCCCATTAACTATGTACATGCTTATCAGGTTAGGAATGATCACTTAGTTGTGATGCATTAGCAGGCCTGATGCACTGTGTACATACTTTTCCTGATGACATAGTATATAAGAGCAAGTAATTCGCTCAAAGAATGTTTGGTAAGTCTAAATGGTAAGGTAAATGATCCAATGATGGAAATAGTCCAAACAGTGTCCTGTGCACAGCATGAGAACTTTTGACAAGCGATAGAGCATCATTTGACAACAAAGTGGTAGTCAATCAAGAACAAAATATTAACTGAACACCACTTCAATCAAAGAATTTGTTTGATCGTGTTTTTAAAAGGTTCAGGAATAAATTATGCAGTAGGAGTAACTTTTTCCATGTTTCGTTGAAGTTGCACTTTCTGAAAGTAACATTAGCTTTGGTATGCATGTCATAAGTTTACTTACCTGATAATATTTTTATTAATTGAATGACAAAAGATTTTTCTGCTATCACATAAAGCCATGTTTATTTGGCTGTGGTAGAGTCATGATTTTTGGAAGAAATAATGGAACAGAATCTTTATATTCTTGATGGATCATAACATCTTTAAATGTTGGTATGAAACCACCAAATTTACATGCCAAAATGACATAACTATATCGATCTTTATCCTAAAATAATCCACCTTATCGGAAATTGTTTCCATACTGGTCTTTTGTTGCCCAAATGCTGTCACAATTATCTATCTGCAGTCCCTCAAATTATGCCTTTATGGCGCTAGTCAGCCATATCATATGCACAGAATACTTTTCGTTGTCTCTCTATTGAGAGACCTTGTCTGTCCTCTAGTTTCCTTGAAGGGCCTTATCTCACGATCTTCACATAATAAAATGGCTGCCTGTTTGTGATCCTACCTTTACATAAAAGGGGATTTCAAAACTTTGCAAGTGTTACATGATAAAATTCATCATTTTCAAACTTTATTAATAAAACAAGCAGGAAAATGAGGCAGTGCTGCTTGCACTCACTGGAAATGTACTTAAGTGGATAATGGTTGTAATTTATTATCTAATACTATTGAAAATTCTTAAAATAGATGGAGGTTTTGAATTATATGATTGGGTGCCATCTTTTCTACCCATTTTAATCCTTGCCCATGATTTGAAAGGAAAGAAGGCTGTGAATCCCACTGCTTGATCCCACAAGCATCCCATGTTGCCTCTCCAGTTTCCTGGCTGACCCACAGTTAAGGAAGTGGGTAAAAAGGCATTTCCATATCTGACCATGCTTCAGTTCTGGTTTTAAGTTTTGACAAATTGGAGCTTCCTATCATTAACTTTTATATGTTATCTTGTTTGTGCCACAACCATAAGAATCACAAAGCTTTGTAGACACAAAGATCAGCAAGGAAGCAGCACACTGAATATCACCGAGAAAACATTTGTCAACTGATCAACTGCTACTAATGAAGAAAGGAAATAAGTACCTACTTAAGTTTCCTACATAAACATTTTCCATGGACTTCTTTAGCTAAATAAATACTAGTTGGAGCTGTTCTCTAATTCCATCATTAAATTATACAGGTTGTAGGAACTTTGGGTTATGCAGCACCTGAGTACATGCAAACTGGTCGCCTGACTGCCAAGAGTGACATATGGAGCTATGGAGTTTTCCTATATGAACTTCTCACAGGCCGTCAACCAATAGATATAGACCGTCCTAAAGGTGAACAGAAACTCTTAGAATGGGTCAAACCATACATATCTGATGTCAGGAAGTTCCGTATAATCATGGATACAAGGCTAGCAGGTGAGTACTCTTTTAAATCTGCAACAAAGCTTGCTTCTGTGGCAAATAGATGCCTACGGCAGCAACCCAAGTCTAGGCCCAAGATGAGTGAAGTTTTGGAGATGGTGCAACAGATTGTGGGAAGTACTGGGGCTGGAGTGCCACAGGCCCCATTAAGGAATTCTGATCTAGAACAAGGACACCCAAGAGTAGAGAAAAAGAAAGTTCTGAGGAGAACTATCGGAGAGCAGAAAAAGGGGCAAGGTATGCAGTTGGTGTGGCAGGGATGCGGGTTAAAACTAGTGAAGTCATGTTGATTAGCTTTATGAGTGTTGAAAGTTCCATCAATGTTCTTTCGGAGAGTTGATGATCCCTAAAATAAATATCTATTACATTGGAGGTGTAACATGTTACCATTTTTACTAAAATAGGTTTTATGTACTTCTTATCTCCAAGTAATCCTGTTCATAGTGGTCAACGTTAGAATCGCTGTTGCTTATAGCTTGCAAATCTATCAAAGTGTCATGTGACTTATCTTGTTTGATCATATTCTAGCATTGTACCATTTGCAACATCAATATTTTTTGTGGTTTTGTTTCATAAATCATCAGAATTGAAAAAACTATTAAATTCCTTGGATAGCAGCATGTAGAACTGTACAGTGGCTGGGTAACAACCTCGTGTCTTTCTGAGATGAGGATATGATTACTATTAACCAGTAACTGAAGTTATGTGCATAGCCTCATTGCCAGTAACTGATGTTTTTGCATCTACCAAGACTACCATATAAGCTACCTATTATGGTGATGGCAGCAATGGTGTTCATCAACAGCTCATTGTTGGTCATAGCTTAACAAGAGCTCATTGATCATGATCTCTCCACACAATGCATATGATGAAGGCACTGAAAGCCCCTCAAACATCAGAACTAGGGACCTACATTGCTGATACTGTTTCACACTGGTGTTGGAGCTGGGATTGCAGAGTACTTGTGAAAGTTACAGATCCTTCACACAGTTTTTCTGAGAACAGCAGAGCTGAAGCAATGCAGTCTCAGTTTACATCCATCCTGGTTTGCTAAAGATTTTCACGTGGGCAATCAGTGGCCAGCCTCGATATGAACTTATGCATGCTTTTACGGGTATAAATTGCAAGTAGGTTCCTGGATTTCTAGTGATACACAACTGAATGCTTTCAAAACTGGAAAAGCAGAAGCATTAGAAGCCATTCCAAACAGGTTGTGGAAATTTATGCCCCTGAAGGGTGCTGCTTACACATTTATGATTCCAGAATTAACAAAAACATCAGCTGAATGTTGGGCCAACAGGTATTCTCTAATTCCTCTTAATAATGTCTAAATCCAATATACTACAAGGTTTTGGTTCTTTGATTTGTTCTTAAATCCTGCATGTGCTTTTAATCGCTTAGTATTACTTGATTCAACAATGATGGTTGAATTTATCTAATTAGTTTTCCTTCAGACATTCCAGAGGTGTTATTTACTATTAGATCAACTTCATGGTCACATTAACCTCATAAAGCAGGACCTATTTATAGTGAATTAGCAACATTTTAACTGGTTAGTTGATGATTCACTCTGGCTGCCACTGTAGGCTTTTCCAAAAAGTGTTAGAAGATTTACTTTTCGATAGTCGATTTTAAGTCTATCATGCTACCAGGATGGAAATCGGTTTACAGCATATCGTTTATAGTCGTTTATTGACAATTTGTTGGAATTAAAACATGGGTAGTTTGATTGGAGAAATGTGGGGCATACCATTGCATTTGTGATACGGTTACCAAACAGTTTCTTCTGCAAATGGGTTGAATTATATCTGTAGCTGATGTAATACAACTTTTTATGGGCAAAAATAAGATTCTTTCACATGTTTGCTACTCAAGTGTCAATGTTGCAGTGATGTAGGTTGATTTGATCTACACCTAACTGATTACATGTTGTGCTTGTCATCATCCTTCCCAGATTTATTGGTGTTATCAGAGTCGTAAGGTTGGTGTTATTCCACCTTCTCTTGGTCTTTTTGTGGGTAGATCCACTGACCTTAATTCTGAGCTTGTAAGTCTTCGAGGATTCTTGAATGTCATTCATAATACAGCCTGCATAATTTTTTTTGAATGATGCTTATACTTGAATGTCTGACAAAGCTCTATTAGTCCATACTAGTCTCCACTGGAAGGTGAGAGACCAAATCATTGTGCGTAGTATGTTTCTTTTCAGTACAAAAGCTCAAGTTCCAACTTATCGCGGTGTGCAAAAGCTCTAGTTTTTGTAGCTTGAGGTTACCGAAACACGGAAGCATGTCTGCCATTAGATTTCCACCGGAGCGGAAGAATGGGAAGCTGAGACTTCATTAAGATTCGTGCAATGACGAGCGACTCGCGAGGATGAGTTGAACAAGGCATATCACGTCAACACAAGTGGGAATCCTAATGGATGCCACCTTGGTGACCCATGCCTCATCCCATGTAGGATTTTGTGAGCCTCCCTTGCGCACATACATTATTTGACAACCAACCGTAAAGATGCATTTGATGTGGGAAAGCATCAAATTGACAACTGGACCGTAGGTCGAGTTCTTATCTCAATCAAAGTTGCTGCTCGAACCCGGTTCAATTTGGGCTAATTTGTTGAGCGGCTCGATCACACGTATGGCCGTGCGTCCGACTCGATCAGGGCCGTCCAGGCGGCGATCGGACGCTCGCCGTGCGGCCTCCGGGCGTGGCCAGCGGGAGGGCATCAGGGGCGGGGCCCGCTGCTGACAGCCGTCAGATGGGGGCCGTAGGGCGGAGATTCCCCCCGTGATAGATGCAAACAGAGGAGCCACAGTGCGCTCCCCTCCCGAAGCACCGCGCCTGCGCACGCCGTCCTGCCCCGAATCGACGGACCGGATCGCGTACGGCCCCCAACCGACGGCCCACGTTCCCCCTCCCAGCAATAAAAGGACGGATTCAAAAGGGAGCCAGCGGCCGCGCCGCTCCAATCGGGCTTATTTAGCCCGTGACGTCCGCGAGATTCCCCCCTCTCGCTCCCACCCCTCGTTCTCACTCTCTCTCTCTCTTCTGTTTCGGTATTCTTATCTATTGCTCGCTTGCCCGCTCGCTACGTTCTTCCGTGGCGACGCGAAGCCGCGGTATCTTCTTCCCGTCGCACGCTCTTTGTTCGTTTGCCGCCCGATCGCCTCGATCCACCGCTGGATCGCCCCGATCTGATGTAAGTTATACTGGATGGTGGGGATCTGAATTGATTCTTGCCTGATCTTGGTTGCGATTGGAGGAGAACTGAATGCTCGATGATTTGTGGATTGATCGGATTTGGGAATTTGATTGTCGCCACGGATCTGTGGCTTTCGAACTTAAAACATTTCGGATGGGTAGATTGATGTTCTGAACCTAGTTCTGATTCATGCTCTAATGTTTTCTTTTTGGTCATCGCAGTTTGATTGATGATCACTTCTTTTGCTTATAAACATTTGTGCCGTCTGTTGTTTCTCCCCCACCCCCCACACCCTCCAAGTTCTTGATGCTTCTTGATAGAATTCTAGTTCGATTGGATTTGCAAATTTCTTAATATCTCTTGCGGGGATTGCTGTCCTTTCTTGCACAAATAGATCTGTACCTATCAATATCCATTACCACCATCATGTCCTTGAAATGCATCAATCACGCACCGGCTTGTGAAACACACCAGTTTATCAATGATGGTAGTTGATCTTGCAATACTTCTGGCGAGGACTGCTTTCTGATGTATTATTAACCCTCTTTATTCTGATTGTTTGAGTGAATGATGTTCGAGTAGGGTCTATCTAGTTGAGCGGAAATATATATTTAAGACGGGCTTGCGGAAGTCATTCCTTTTGGAGAACGACTACTGTTTTTCTTTTCTCAATATTTTTTTGATGAAATCTTGTTTTTATGCCTTTTTCAGTGTTGATAGATCAAAACTTTCCTGAAGACATTTAAATACAAACTGAAGATTGTTGGACAAGAACTTGACGAACAGGTTGCAATTCCTAATACTAGACTTGCTCATTACTTATTGGCTACAGGCAAAGATGTTCTTATGTTGAGCTGTTAGTAGTTGTTGAAACTTGAAAGTAGAATCCAGTCGCTTAATAAGTCAATATATGTGTGCTCGTAGTTTGATAACTTGGATTTGGATGAAAGGATGTCTGACAAACGAATTTGTTTTCATTGACTATGTCAAGCTTAATGTTCTACCCTGCTTGGAAAAATTCAAATAGGTTGCACAGGTTTTCTGTTTATTATTTGACAAATTATTATTGCAACCACTCTTCTACCTTGGCATCTACACTCATTTTTTTATGTTGGAAAAACATTTTTTATGTAGTTATTAGCTTAACTATATTATGGATGGGTGAACCCACTTTCCCTGTTTTCGGTCAAGCCCATTTGCCTTTCTATGCATGCAACAATGGAAAAAGATGCTGTTCTAAAACATAAATTGACATTTTAATATTTCTGAGAAGATCAATAGATTCTATAAGCATGTCGAAATGCCAAACTGGTTCAATTTTGATATAAAAGGATCTTTAAGTCACATGTGTTTATGGCTAAGAAATTCACTTGTTTGCATAATAAAATTTTTATTCCATTCAAGCCAAACATGTGTTAGCATATTAATTCAAGTACGTCATACATTTTCAGGGAATGCATTATCTTATTGTGACCAGAAATATCCTGAGCTAGTCACAATTCCATCAGGGTTAATATCAGAGAGAGCCTATTAAACTTGCACTTCCAACTGGAAATATTTATATCCAATGATTACCTACGAGCAAGATTCTGATATTCATCACTGGGGTTTCGATTTTCTTCACTGTGACCTATTTTCAGTCCCTCCATATTGTGGAGGCACCAGTCAGCAGGATTCCAGTTTCTATGATACTTCTTATGTTGGAGAAGGTGATATTGATCCAGAATGTGCAACCATTGAGAATGATGAAATTATTGCCCATGCTCTTCAAGAAGAACTTTCTCAACTTGCTGTTGCAGAAGCATCGGGATCTACACATGCAGAGGATGAGTGTCTTCAAGTATCTGTTCTTACACAGGATTGGTTTAGTCCATATATGAGAAGTTATAGTCCAGGTACTAAGATGACTATAAATATGGTCATTGATATATTGTTTGGTCTCCTTGATGATTTTTCATGTTCATAAAGGGAATGAGGATGGCCAGGATGAGGCTGATGATATGGAACCCTCCAGTTCATGTTCTAGTCCTAGGGAGAACTCATATAACGGGGATGAATGGTCATTAGAATTAACGGATGATTTTTCAGATATCGAAGGTGAAGTTGGTAAAAGGTTGAATCACATGGTCTCCATTCCTGTAAGTTATGCATATTCTTTTATCCACCTCATTTAGTTTATGATTAATGATTTCATATGTTGAAAAACATTTATGATATTAAATATTAGCATATTTTTTATGATTTTCTGCCCTTTCATTTATTTCTGTGAGACTCAAGTATATCTTACATGTAATATCATAATATTCTTTTATTCTTGTAATTTGCAAGTGCCAAATTGTTAATTTCTAATTTTGATGAGATAAATATGGAAAAAACAATTTCCTACTGCTCAGCTAAAAGATGATGCATTTAACATCTTACTAATTTCAGTAAAATAAGATTTGACATGATATTGGTATGAAAATCCTCCGAATAACCTTTTCTTTGATTTCTGAATTACAATGTCTGATCCTAGGACTGTATGTTCAGTCGGTTCTGCATGTTCTCTGTCTTAATTTGCTTTGTGAATCTAGGCATTAATAATATTCTTCCACTATATAATATGTATCCAATATTGAGTTTGCTTGTCATAGAACAATGGCTTTGAGGATAAGGATGTGTGTGATGACCCTTCCAAGATTCATAATTAACCTCGTGCACTTGGCTGCCTCTTCTTGGGGATTTTTTGATACTTTGACTATAATTTTTTGTAGGAAGTTCAGCATAAGTTTCTGGACATCAGCTTTTTAGTATCTTATTTTGCTTGTCAATATGATCCTCTAAATTATTAAAGATTGACTTCTGCAGCATGTTCCTAGAATTAATGGAGAAATTCCTTCTGTTGATGAAGCCACATCAGATCATCAGAGGCTCATAGACAGGTACTGACTAATTCACTAACTTGGAAGTATTATTTGGAGATGTTTCCCATAGAGATAACTCACCTTTGAATACATTTATCTGAGATTTCCACTAGAGAGTGTAACATAAATTTTAGTACCTCTGTCGAAGGTATAAGCATTTTGTGCTTGAAGCTCCCTGTTATATATGCCTACTTGGATATACTTTGCCATGGGTTCTTTAGTTTTACAAGTGATGAGGGTTTAAAGTTTAAAACGTGAGTTGGAGGTGGCAACACTTGTAGTCACCTTGAATATATACACAGGAGGAAACTTAGATCCTTTAGCATGGACCAAGGATATCCATGATGAAAGATGAAGGCAAGGATTTAGGATACATCAGAAAAGGAATGCTATTCAACATACTGCAATTTTGTCATTCATGCTGTAGCTGATGAATTGTAATTCAGTTTTAGTTCTCAATAATTCAACTTTCAGCGATCTTTTTCCTGATTCTAGGGATAATTGCATACGACCCTTCAATTATCCAAAAATCAGGAAATAGTGCTTTTCTTTTATTTCTGTAATTGTCTATAGAACCTTCAAAAAAAATTAGATCCTTCATTTTTTTGCAATGTCCATATTTGCTGATGCCTTTGAGAGATATATATGCAAGAATTTAGTTTTGAGCTAAGTATGTAATTTGATACTTTAGCTGAGGCATATATGCAAATATGCAATTTTCTCATTATCATTTTTTTCTGCATGTGTCCTGCATCTCTAAAATGAGATCATCATGCAAATATGTTGGTTTTATTCACTAATATAGTTCTCCTGGATAATTTCTGAACTTTTAAATCTTGTGAACATTCACTGTTTCCTTTCAACTTCATTTTTGTTTTTTCCCCTCAATTGCAGATTGCAGATGTATGATTTGATTGAGCTCAAGGTCCAAGGAGATGGTAACTGTCAGGTTAGCAGTGGAATTATTCCTCGTCCTTGAAGTTTCCATGTAGTTGTGAGCTAGATAGACTAATATTAACAGTTTATTTTTACATCTAGTAAGCTAGTTATCAGCAATATTCTAAGGCATTAAGAACAGATTCTAGTACAGCTGACCCTGATGTTCTACTAACTATTAAACTGAGTTAAAAACTATAATATTCTCAAGAAACATAGGCTTATGGATGATGTTGATATTTGGCAACTAATGTAGGATTGGCAAAGTAACCCATAAACTTATAAAATTTATTCAAACAAGAATCAATTATTAAGAGTCCTGCATCACGTTGATATAATCACTACAGTTCATGGCTAAAATATAATTAACTAAAAGACAGGAACCTATCTGTATGAAGTGTGAACAACTACACCCAGCTACCATTACATTGCTCTTTTTTCTTACATTTTCTATATTATAGTTAGTTGATTTTCTATATTGTTTGCACTTTGCTCTTTGCAATTCTTACTGCATATACAACGTCACCTGCATCATTGAATAGGTTTAAGCTATTACACATTTTTTAACTAAACTGACAGTTAAAATCTGCATCTTTTAGTTCCGAGCACTATCAGATCAATTTTACCGGTCACCTGAGCACCACAAATTTGTCAGACAGCAAGTTCTCAATCAGGTTACATTTATATTTTCTCCTGTGTAGTCATCTTCATATTGATTTGCAAAAACCATGTTTCATATGTAGTATTTCCTTTTATTTTCAGCTCAAAACTCATCCTGAGTTCTATGAGGGATATGTTCCTATGGAATATGGTGACTATTTGAAAAAGCTCTCAAAGTAATCTTTATTTCTTGTATCATGCTTTATCCTTGCTCTACATTGCTGTTTGAGTACAAATCAAACAGTATGTTAATTATCTGTCATTTGTACCGATATAACAGGAGTGGAGAATGGGGTGACCATGTGACTTTGCAGGCTGCTGCAGATTCGGTATTGTTCCAATTGATTCCTTCTTTGCATTTTTTTTTTCCTTACTTCTGCTTGTGTGGATCCCTCCATTATTTTGCCTTTTTCCTCTGGTTGAATTATAGGTTGTTTATTATTGAAATTAGAAAATTATAGCTTAATCTTTTGTATGCAATATTGAGGGGTTTTTGCTTTTGCAATGGTCACTCTGTTTTATGAGACTGTTATGAGCAATGTTGGTATTCTTTGGATAAACAACTAGAGATGATTCTTTGCATTACACCTCTAGTTGGATAACATAATCTAGCATCTTCGATGTAATTGCTTTGCTTATGGTTCTTTTTAACTGTCTTCTGCAGTATGGGGTCAAAATTTTTGTGATAACATCCTTCAAGGACACTTGCTACATTGAAATTTTGCCCAGCTTTCAGAAGTCTAAGCGAGGTATGTTAGAAGTGTTTCATTGCCGAAATGTATCTTATAGTTTTCATGGGTTTGTCTGACTAACAAGATAAGCATTCTTTGTCGTTACTGGACAGTGGACACAAACATGTGTACATTAGTTCTCCATGCTTGCATATTTTAGTACGGTCATATTACTAGATGGAAGAGTTGTATTGTTTATTTATGATGGAACAGCTTATTTAGATGCTCATGCTAGCTTGTTATCACGTCATAGTACTGGAAAGAAAAGAATTGACAACTTATTTAGATGCTCATGCTAGCTTGTTATCACATCATAGTTAGTACTGGAAAGACAAGAACTGACATCACCCTCTCGGTATGACCCACCACAATTTAGACATGCAGATGCACTTGTGCGTATCACTTGGAACACTAAATTTCTTTTTGTATCTTTCCTGTTGAGAGCAATAATGAAGTTCATCTTATACAGTAATTTTCTTGAGCTTTTGGGCTGAGGTGCACTACAACTCAATTTACCCGGAAGGGGGTAAGTGAATAATCATCTTGTTGGTATAACACTCTTTTTATCATTTTGCCATTTCTGACATGAAAATAACGCTAAAGAAATCCACCATTAATATACACAAATTGAAACATTTGGTTCCCCCTCTTGTTTGGTTGTTTAGATCTCCCTGCCTTAGATATGAAGAAGAAAAAAAGATGGTGGCAGTTTGGAAACAAGTATTAGATGAGGAAACAACCATGGCCTTGGCTGACATCCACACCTGGAAAATCTCACAGCATTGTTCACTTATCAGAGGATATCAATCCTGTGCTTCAATGCTCGGATTCATATTTATCTCGTAAGATATATATGCATTTCAGGAATGACAGTTTATTGTTTCAATCTCCTATGACTTGTTCTTCTAAGCTTTGGCTGTACGGGTTGCCCAAGCCAAGGCTCATTGCTCACTAGAGCATGTTAAGACTCCCCTTCAGAAAAGAAATAAAGATGACAGGATGTTTCAATTTTCAGACTAAATGTAAAGCTGCGAAAGGGCATGAAATTTGTATTGTTGTGGGGAATTAAATGACCAAGATGTTGGCCGATGTACTTTACTCACTGTGGGTGGATTAATGGTACGAGCTTTTTGTTTACTATGAATCATAGTCCGGTACAAAAATAATCAACTAATGGTTAATTTAAAGTGGTCCTCAGTCTGCACATTTGATTTAGTTTTCAGTAGTAATTGCAGTTCAACTAATGGTTAATTTAAAGTGTTCCTATGTCTGCACATTTGATTGAGTTTTCAGTAGTAATTGCAGTTCAACTAATGGTTAATTTAAAGTGGTCCTCGGTCTGCACATTTGATTGAGTTTTCAGTAGTAATTGCAGTTCAACTAATGGTTAATTTAAAGTGGTCCTCGGTCTGCACATTTGATTGAGTTTTCAGTAGTAATTGCAGTTCAACTAATGGTTAATTTCAAGTGGTCCTCAGTCTGCACATTTGATTTAGTTTTCAGTAGCAATTGCAGATCTGGGAGGGACCACCGGTTTGATCTCTAAACCTGACTCGTTTGTTTTGCTTTCTGTGCCATTGCTTCGTCGTCACTTTGTTCTTCCTCTTGGACAAAGTGAACGAGCACGAGTATTCTCTTTCTCGGGATTTATACCTTCTCTTACCCTTTCCAAAAGCGGAAGATACGGTTGGCAGTCCGAGTACCCACTTCTGGTACGTTCCGGATAAATACAGTGGGCCCTCGGCAGGGTGGTGCTGGTTAAGCTCTCATCGTTCTATTAGCATGATTCCTACTCGTCTTGGAAGCGCTCGTGGCTCCCAAATCTTCTGGAAGCTTCTCCCCTCCCCTCGCGAACCAGCCGCACTCGCCGCTTCCCCTGGAAGCTTCTCGATCTCCATCTCTTCTTCATATCGCGCGGCGAGACCCGTTAATTCTCCGTCTTCTTCTTTTGAGTTCAAAACTTTGGTTTTCCAGTTTTATATATATATATGTTAACTTCGCAGGGTGTATGTATTATACTATTAACTGACATACGTATGCAGCCTGTTTACTTCAACATGCATAATACCGACCCTGGAACGGTGACTAGGTGGAGATGTTGACCCTGATGCGCAGAGACCTTATCGGAAAGGCATTGAAGTAATTGCTCCTTTCGGGGTCAGCGTGAGAATTTATTTGGAGGCTGGAGTTATTGACCATGCAAAGGTGATTAGGTGGGCACTTCAGAATGCAGCATCGGTGGCTGGAATGATCAAATACAGGAGATTGCGGGATGGCAGCTTTTTCTTTTTTTCTTTTTTTTTACTTTTTCTTGAATCTTAAATCCATCGATCTTTCAGTTTTTCATTGGTCGCTTTATTTTTGTACCAGGGAACAGTGATATGACCGTTGCATGCATGCTTTGCTTTGACTATGTTGCCACTTCTGCTGTCAATTTGCACCAGTCTTAGCCAAGCCAAGATCGAAGCAGCCTGTGAAACGGAACACAGCTTTCTGATCTCTCAAATTGCACTCGTCAGGCCTTGCCCTAGTGTTGGGTTATCCTCCATCGATAAGTGTGATGTGAAACAAGATGATGAGAGAAGAAACTAGTGAAAAAAAAAAAGAAAAAAAGAGATATGGGAGAAATAAAAAGATAACTAAGAATTTCTAATTTAAAATATAAAAATTTGATAATATTTTATTTAGTCTTTCTTTTTTTCTCTTTTTATACATCTATTATACATTGAATCTTTTAATCATAAGTTATAATCTGCTAAAGGTTAAGCATAAATTAAATCCATGCTGCATTCTACTTTGGTGGCTGTGAATTTTTTATAATTATTTAATTTTTTCTTAAAATTTGATAAGATTAAACATGAAATTTATATTGTCTTAGAATTTGGGAGCATTCAACACTCACCATTCACTGCATCAATCTTCTTAGATGAGAAAAAACTTATTAGTTATCGTCATTATTGTTATGATAAATGTATAAATCCTGAACGTTAAATGTGGAGTGAGTACTAAGAGGAAGCTCAAGCCTGTTAGAATTATCATTAATTCTCTTGAGAATTTGACAGCTACTAATTTTCTTCTCTTTGAGTTTATTGTAAGTTCATACTGAAAAACATTCTTTAAAAAAAAAAAACTAAACAAGATATCCTTCAAAAATCATCACACGATGATACTTATTGGCATTTTCTTTATAAACTTGGTTGCTAGCTTCAAGCTTATTTTTTGCTTCATGAATTTTTATCATGATAATAGTAAAATCATCTCCCTTTGCAATTGATAAAAGTGATTTATGTGCTTTAGTAATATCTAGATAAAATTCAGCATAAGGTAGCATAAGATCCAATTGTTTTGGTCTTTTTGCAATAAAGCATTGTAGCATATTAGCCAAGGTTTTATTAATCATCTCAGCTTGTCTATGTTTTTTTTAAGGATGATAAGCACTAGGTTAGTGCCAAAAACTTTCAATAAGCTTCTCCAAAAATAACTAAAAATTTAGTATCTCTATTTGATGTGATAGATTTAGGAATTCTATAAAGTTTAATAATATGATACCTAGGAGGGTAAAAATATAAAATGAATTTCGAAAGAAAACCGATAGAACAGTTGTTCAGATAGAAAATGTCACAGAAGACAAGGAACGAACTCTTGACAAAATTTTGATAAAAACAAAAAAATAGCTCATCACCAAGTTTAAAATCGAAAGGGATACAGAAGATCACCATCCTAATGATAATAAACAAGGATGCAGAACTGAAAGCAAAAGACTCACCACTCAAGGATGCATCCAAGAGATACAGAGTTCAAAAGAGCACTCCAAGAGAGCTTATGTCAATATCCTCAGTTTCTCTAAAGTCCTTTCTAAGCCCTAAATACCAAAATAAATACAAGTATATGAAACAACCCTTCATAGGAAATTTCGAAATTAAGTACTTTACAACTGCCAACCAATTCCATTAATGTATTCCTTAGCCATAAAGAAAAGCACCATGATACAACTTTACCTTTGTACAGGAAATATGTTGATGAGCTGTCTTATCTGAGTAGGCTGAGTTGAAGATTATGAGGCAATATTATTGGCTTTGTGTAGGGAATATGCTGATGAGTTGTCTTATCTGAGTAGGCTGAGTTGAAGATTATGAGACAATATTGTTGCCTAAAAAAAATATCATATTATCAGCATGGTCTATGTGTAGCAAATTAGACACTCTCGTGTCATAATATAACAAATATCCGTGGTCTTTTTGCAAAGAATAAAATGTGTTATTTGGAAAAAACAATCAACAATAATAAAGGTAAATTTTGTACTACTTAAGTTTTTAGTTGACCAATCGTAAAATTCATATTAATGTCTTCCCAGGGAGCATTACAAATTAGTAATAGAGTATATACATTAAGATTTTAAGTTTGTCTTTGACATATTTTTTATCTTTTCATATAATGTGTAATATCTCAGTAGATTATAGGTTAAATATATTTTGCTTTGATGAGAAGTACTATTTTACCTCATGAGAAGTACTATTTTACCTCTCTCAAAATGACCTCGTAATTCACCATAGTATAGTTCTCGGATAATATGCTCTCTTAGAGAATATTTAGAAATACAAAGTTGAGTTTCACAAAAGAAAAAATCTTTGATAACATAATCTTCATGATAACTCTTCGTGCATAACTTTTATACTTTTTCAAAATTTTCATCATTGGAGTAAGTATTTCCTATTTCATCAAATTCTTTTAGTTGGGCTAGCATAGTATTAAGAAGCGTCAATCGCCAACTGAGTACATCTACAATCATATTATATATTTCATTTTATTTAAAACCTTCATGATTAGAATTTAAAATAAATTCTTTTTAGATCAAATAATATCTACAATATCATAGTGCTTGAACAATAACATTAAATTTAATATCATGGTTGAGTAGTTCTTTCATGTATTGTTAAGCTTTTCACTAAAGAATATAAGTAGATGTCCTTCTTAACTAAGTACTCCACCAATGCCCATATGAAAGGCATCGATAATATTTTAGAGAACTTCAAATATTTTAGAAAAATCTAATAATATAAAAACCAGGAGCAATCGGTAATTTCAACTTTAGTAATTCAAAACTGTTGTTTATTTAAACATTTCTTTCTTTATACAATTAGTTAGAGGAGCTACAATAGTGTTGAAATTTTGAATAAATCGATAATAAAAGGATGTCAACCCATGAAAACTCTAAATATCTTATGGAGATGTTGGTGTTGGCCAAGTCTGAATAGCTTTAATATTCTAAAAATCTACTTAATTACCTGTAGAGGTTAAGATAAAGCCTGGAAAAACTAAACGAAGATTTACATATAGCTTTTCTCCCTTTAATGTTGATAGGATAGTTCTCAAATATTTAATATGATCAAGTTTATTATGATTATAAATAAGAATATCATCAAAATAAATAATAATAAACTTCCCAATATAAGGATTTAGAATTTGATTTATTATTTAGATGAAGGTGCTAGGAACATTTAAAAGTCCAAATGGTATAACTAACCATATAACTAGCCATTCATATAAGCTTTCTCAAGTTATAAAAATAATTTTTCATTCATTTCCTAGTTTAATATGGATTTGATGATAATTACTTAAGGATCGATTTAAAAATAAATTTGAGCACTAACAAGCATATCAAATATATCATCTATATGTGGATTGATTTTAAAAAAAATTTGAGCACTAGCAAGCATATCATATCAATGCACATCGGCTAAATTTTATCTTTCTTCGAAGTCAATAGAGCTATAATGACACATGAGCTTAAACTTTTCCAAATATAACCCTTATACTCATCTGATAGTGAGATTTATCTAGTAAGATGACTCTTGAAATTAAATCAATTTGATGTTGAATATCTCGAAGAGGAGGTAGAGCACTTTAAATTCCTCTAATATAGCTTCTACTTCATTAGAAATGTTTATATGTTATATGTATTTTTTTAGTAATTAATATAAATACAATTCTATTTTCTTTGTTTTCTCTTGTAAACTTATTTAAAGTAAGAAAATTATTTTCCTACCTTTGAGATAAAAGTTTTGGAGCAAACTCTTCTTTGTATGGTAAAAACATAAGTCTAACTTGTTAGGATCAAGAGTGGCACTAAGAGGAGGGGTGAATTAGTGCAATGGAAAATTCTTCGATTTTCATATAAAATATTTCATACGTTCGATGAAAATCGAATCGGAATATAGCAACTTGAAACGTATGAGAGCGTAAGCGAGATGAAGAGGAGAAGCAGTTTGCTATGAAATAATTTGCAGTTAAAGTAAATTGCACTTATGAAAAGCAAACTAGAATTTAGAGTGGTTCGGTTAATATGACCTACATCCACTTTCGGATTCCTCCTCCGACGAGATCTCCGGTATCCACTAAAGCCTTCCTTCAATAGATGAAGACCAATCACCTTTTACAGTGCTTTTTTCTTTTCATGGGTTTAGGAGAGAACCCTTACAAGTCTCATACCTCTCTTAAATAATCTCAACACTTAGAAAGGAAGGAGAAGGACTCTAGCACTTATTTACAATACTTTTACACCCTAACAACTCAAGATTATCTCAATACTTTTATGCCTTTTTATACAGGAAAGGGTGAGATTTTTATATGCCCCAATGACTTCAAAAATGGAGCAAGTGTCTAATCCCAGATTTTCGGGGTCCTGACAGTACCACTGCCATTACTGGGCGGTACCATCACCTGACACCTAACATTGGGCGGTACTACCACTCAGTCTGGGTGGTACCATCGGTTGACAGAGCTTGGAGATCGAGCTCTGACGGTACCACCGCCTAACAGGGGTGGTACCACCGCTAGCAGCAATAACAACCAGCGGTACCACTGCCCAGACCACCTAGGAGTTGGGTCTTCTGGGCGGTGCCATCGCTGGTCATGTTTTCAGGGGCTGATTGGGCTATTCAATCCTGCCCAAATCAACCCTGTTAAGGGCCCGTTTGGCTCCTAAGTAAGTTAGTGAGATTACCTCCCAATCCTAACCTAATTTTGCTCTAACTACGATAATTAAGACATGATCACAGCTCTTCTTGTTCTGGTTGATCAATTGCTCTTCCGACGAGCTTTCGGCGAACATTCGACGAACTCTTAGCAATGCTCCGGCAGACTCCCAGTAAGCTCCTAGACTTTACGATGATCTTCTTGGCAAGTTTCGATGAGCTTCTTTAGCAAGCTCTTGGATTTCTCGTTTGGTTCCGGTAGAACTTCCGACGAACGTCCGGACTTCCGACGAACTCTCAAACTCCTTACATGATCTCGATCTTGACTCTGGCACAATACCTGCTTTATGTCTTACTGTTATCGTAGTTAATCCTGCATACTTTTCTCAATATATAGATTAGATCAAATAAATTACAACTGACTTCGTCATTAAAATCTGAGATTCAACATAACTCCATTAAATTTAAAAGTATAGGGGTTACTTACCATATATATATATATATATATATATATATATATATATATATATATAGTGTTCTTTCTACTATATAGATAGCATACTGATTATATTGTCATGATCTTCCTAAGATTATATGTATAATCAAATTCTTAATTTAGGTATAATTTTTTTACTAATAAAATTTAGAAAATAATTATTCAGCATACCAAGTAGGATAATGCTATTTTAGTCAATAAATTAAATAAATATAAATATAAAAATAAAAAAAATACCTTATGTGAAGGGCTGACCTCTTCTTATTTAAGGCTAGAGATTCTATTTATTCGTTCCTCACTAAGCTAAGCCTAGTAGTGAGAGGAACAAAGAGTTACATTCTATTAAGGAGAGGTAGTTCTCAATATTTCCCAAAAAATATTTTTTTTATTTCTTTAAATATTTGAAAATTTTATTTTATATTAAAAGATGTTATGATTATTCATGTTATATATAATTTCTAAAATTTCTTTATATTCCTTTAAATATCTAAAATTTTATTTTTGTATTAAAAGGTGCTATTATTATTCATGTTATATGCAATTTCTAAAATTTTATGCTTAAAATTTTATTTTAAAATTAAAATATATTATAATTATTCATGCTATATATAGTTTTTAGAAATTTTAGTTTGGGTGAATGATGCCATTTATAATATATGATTTCCATTAAATTTATATAATAGTTGATTAAAAATATTATGTCCTCGTAATTTTATCTTTTTAGTCTATTATTATTTATTATGCTTAAATGATTTATTACTAATAATTAGATGTTTGATTATAATTTCATGATGTGATAATTCAGAATTGAGAAAATCGGTTAGGGTTTGGGTTGAGATCAACCTGTAGGCTAGGCCTAATCTGTCGACTAAGCCACAACCCCTAGATTAGACCCAATCAATAGGTCAGGCTCAACTTGTAGGTCAGACTCCAACTTACAAGCTAGCTTGGCCCAACGCAGTCATGTGCAATGCACATGATTAATCTATATGCTATGGCTGGCTTAGCTTAGTGTTGTGTATGCATAATCATATGTAGTGCACATGACTAGTACATAGGTTGGCCCAACCTAACCTAATATTATACTATTTTGTTTGATTTAAGTCGAAACATTGATTAAACCAAATCAAATTTGATTAGGTTATATCGATTCAGGATAATTCTAAATTGGTTTGACTTATTTAAGTATGTTTAATATAAAATGATTCCAAACTAATTAAATGAGGATTAAAAATTAGTTCAATTAGATTCTAGTTAAATCGAGTTCAAGAAGACTAATTAAATTAGGGTTCAAGTTAGTTGAGGGCTAATTGATATTATATAATGTTAATAATATTTGAAAGAGATGTTTCGATATATCATTTTATCCTAATACAGACATGAGCAGTATGAGATAATATTATTTTTTTATTAAGGATAGATAGTGTGATTCCCTTCGGAGATTAGCGAGCCATCATATATGATAGTTGAAGGGTTTCTTTATGAGGAATATGTCCCTACTTTAACGAGTGAGAGATATCATTCCATTCGTTGTTGAGAATATATCTCCACTTTAATAGTTCCTTCCTCATAAACCTTCACACAATATTTCTTACATATTAGTTTTTCAATATTTTCAAGTTGTTTATTAGCATCTTCTTCTTAAATAAAATTAACTCATGCATCAACTTGTTTATTTGGGCACTCGTTCATATAGTATCCTACTTATTTGTATTTATAACAAGTAGGAAGGTGACTGGTGCAACTAGATTATGATCCATGGTTGGTAGGAGTTAGTTTGGATATATTTTTCATGATTTTATTAGCTTTTGATCCACTATCATTATAACTAGTAAAGTTAGCTTTAAAAAAGGAATATAAAGGAACATTAGAATACCTCTTTGCTCCACTTCTAATAAGTTTTGCTTTACTTTTAATACTAAATGATAAGCATCATATAACCTCCATAGTCATTGCATCTCCGCTTCATCTCGAATCATAATTCATAGGTCATCGATATATCTTGCAACAAGTTATTCTTCCATCTCTTGAATATTATTTCAGGCCATTAACTTGTAGAATTTTTTTAGTATAATCCATGATGGTTTTGCTATATTACTAAAGATTATTAAATTATGAAAAAAAGAGTTTGAATATAATCAGATAGAAGAAAATTCTTATAGAGGCGAGATTTCATCATCTCCCAAGATGAAATCTTTTTTTTCTTTCAAAAGGCCCATCTCTTGCACCTTGTCCCACTAGATTAAAATATAACTTCGAAGCCTTGTAGCAATTAATTTTACTTTTCAATTTTTGGGTATCTCCTTATACTCAAAAAAATTTTCAATGGTACTAAGCTAATAAAAAAACTCTTCATGTTGAAGTGGGCTATGGAAATTTGGTAAGTCAAACTTATGTTATTATTTGCAAGGAAAAACCTCTTCATATATGAGTATTGCATAGCTTCTTTGGATGCCAAGGGATTCATATCTTCTAATCTATCCATTACTTGCATAATCATAACTTGGATGCCAAGGGATTCCTATCTTCTAATCTATCCATTACTTGCATAATCATAACTTGAACCTCTGGAGTTGTGGGTTTCTTGAAGTTCATGGTGCATAGTAAGATTTTTAACTTGTCTTCCTTTTATCTCTATCTAGTTATATCATTCTTTCATCGCATCGCTCTTAGCCCCTTCTAGTTGTTGCTATAAGAAGAAAATACTCCAAGAGCATAGCAAGGCTCTAATATCATATGAAACAAGATGAAGAGAAAAGAAAAGGGAGAGAAAAATAATAATAATATACGGGAGGAACAAAAAGATAACTCTCTTTTTCAAAATAATTAATATCTAGTAGTTAAAAATATAAAAGTTTGATAAAGTTTTAAAAGAAAAATAACCTCATCAATCTTCATTCCTTCGCCTTTTATAGATTCATTGTATATTGAATTTCTAAATCACCTAATTAATGGGTCATAATTTACTAAAAATCAAACATAAATTATAATACATGTTCAATTCATGGTGCATTATATTTTAGTGATTTAAAAGTTTTCATAATTATCTCAATATATGAATTAAAAAAAAAATTGATAGAATTGAGCTTCAAAATTATTGTCGTGAAACTTAAAATATTCAATGCTCCTCCTGTATCAAAGTGGCTTCAAAGTTTAAATACTCTTAGGAGGTGACAAAGTATTCAATGCTATCATGTACTGCATCAAAGTGGCTTCAGGTTTGAACACTTTGTTTTTTCCTTGGTTGTTTTCTACAATCTTGCCATTTTCTTTTTCTTACTATGGTTGGATATTTTGGGCTAGCAATGACTTATGTGCCTCCACTTGAGTATGGTTACGCAAGATGTTTGATAGCTCTGTTTCCTGCAAAGAACTATTCGGACATTTTATATGATCTCAGGAGGTTTAGTGACAAAGATGAATGATCTGTAGGGACTTCGGAATTACAATGTGTTAAGGAGCATATCGCAATGCAAAGTATGTTTGAATTAAAAGGTTGTTTGCAGCACAAACCTTCAATTATGTAATGAAAAGGTACAGACCAACACAGCCCCCACCATTCCATCACACGTCTTCCAAGTAACAAAGTTTGAATCTGTATAGCATTTACACCGTCGAAGTGCATCATCAATGGGATGGGCAGGTACGACCTCCATGATTATGCAGAACGGTAAGCACACTGATACAACTTCAGAAACCCTCTGGTGCTGCACCGGCAACTGCCGTCGTATCTCTACCTTGCTTCTTTGTGATCACCATACCAAGGCCAACCATGAGCAGCTGCTTGCAATTGAAAGGTTTAAGAATCGGGGTGCTGACCGTCGACTTTTGATATTGGAAACTGTGTTCCCTCTTTAAGATGGCCAGCTGCTGCGGGGCAAAACCATTTCAGGATATTTGGACCCAGAATCTGCTCGACAATTGACATGAACAGTGATGCTGAATAAGAAAACCACACTGCAATTTAGAAACATGAATCTAAAAATTAGGGGAGGTGTTACCATGATGAGATTCTTATATATGCCAAGATCGAACTGGTGATGGTACTTCTGGCCACTTTTCTTGGCAAGCCACATTGCTCTTACTGCTGCTCGATACTGTCGAAAATTCAGGTAGTAGACGAAATAACTGTCATGAGATGAAATGTCTCAGGCTTAAAGCTTGACCATAAGCCACTGACCTCTATCGTCGTCAAGTTATGTGTCAGGAGATAAATGTGCCAACCCAGTAGGCTGCCGAAAGCCAAGCTCAACATAATGGTGACTGAAGCGCACAGGATCTGCCATGTTCTGTCGTCAGTAACGCTCGTAAAACATATTAACAAGCGAAGGGCTACAAAGATAGAAAAAAATAAGTAACCTATACTATGTTGACATTCTGATGCAGTATCCACCAACTTGTTCATTCTTTATCTAATTTGAACCTATATCAGACAGGCATCCAATTCAGATTCATGTCACAGACGACGACTACAAAATTTTAGTTTCCCTTGACATCGGTATTTGTATGTATTCATTCATCAAAAGTGGATATTCTCTATAGTACTTTGGATATCTGATTCACTATTTACCCTACATATCTAGATATTATCGGCTAGTCAATTAAAAGCCAACTGCCAACATACATGTCCTAATTGGGAACATCAAAAGCAGTTATTATCTAGCAAGTTGACTCATGGATTTATGTTATGATTTTTTTTCGACAAACGGAATATGCCACTATCAAATAATCAACATTGACAGTGGATTCTGATTTGAGGAGTATACAAGTCACTATACACCCCTAAAAAACATCTTCTAAGACATCCGTTTTGAGGTGAGGTCATAACTCATAAGGCTTTAAGCTCGCTTGATCAATAGGTCTTACGAGTAAACCTATGGCTGAGATTATGTATCGATTACAGCATGGTGCAAGAACAGATAATGGAGAAAAGCAACCACGAATCCTGCATTGATTATACTAGGAAATCATTTTGAGCTAACCCCTTTTTAGTGCAAATTAATAAAGAGATGTGATGTAGCGTACAAAATTATAGGTATAAGCAGTCTATTTGGCTGTGAGTCTTGACAGAGTGATGATCAAATTAGATTTGGAGATAAGCTGCGGCTTATCTTCATGGTTTAGTTTAAGCCTTATGGGGATGCTCATCCAAATTTTGTAAATGCAAGAACCATGTCAATAGTGCTGGCAAAAGATACTGTTCTTGCTTGGAAAACACTATATTTAAGAAACACTGCAGAAGTCCAAGAAAGCTAACAGCCCTAGTGCCATACCTATTGAAACTTTCTATAATCTGGTACTCGATAAGACAGAGCAAAAAAATATTATAATGTAAGTTGGGCCTTGTGTTGCTTAATTTATTATAAATCCATGACCAAAATATTTAAGATCATTGAACCTTTATACCATGAGATGACAAACTACAGTTCTAGAGAAGTCAACTATGCTAATGTAGTTCAACTTTAAGTCAAATCCAACTTACTTGGTTAGACTGACTGTAACTTGATCAACTATGTGAGAAGAATCTTTCAACTCCATACTGAAAATGAAGCAAGATATTCATAGTTAGCTACATTCGACTTATAGTTAGTTACTCACATCTGAGGCAGTTCTAGGAGAGAGTCGACATGCAAATGTAATGATTGAAGTCATATGGCCTAAAAGCAGTATAAGAAATCAAAAGATATGAAGCTCCTCTACTATGTAAAAATATGCCACATTACATATTACACGAAATACACGATATGAAATGCAAGAGTATTATCTTATGCTGGTTACTGCTCCAAAAATTGATGTACTTACATAGAATATCTTATTAGAGATTCCTTTGAAATCATGATCCTTTCCAAGAATACTGGTCACAAATATCACCTAACACATCAAGTGAAGGAAATCAGAAGTTGTTAGAGACTGAATAAAAATAGAATACAAATAACCCAAGAATATGACCACTTGCCAGAGTCGGTCATATCTGGAGGAACAATGTAACATACATACCATAGAATATATAGATGCCATGGCTGCATGCAAGACACAGACAATGTAGGGCTTATAATTTGCATATCCCACACAATTACCTATCCACACGCAGTGATGATCCTGCAGAGTACATAGATTCTGACAATGTAATCGATAGAGAATAAACGAACCGTCAATATAAGGAGAATTATTCCTACCATTTTTAACACACACCGACGGCAGACCCGACAGTGGTGTGCTCGTGGAGGCTTGTAAGAGCTACACTTATCGCAATATCTTAAGCATTCACCCTGTTGACAGCATCGAAACATTGTGATTTTGTACACCATCAGAAAGTTTTAAGTAAAAAATAAATAAACTTCACATCTATGAAGTCTGAGTGACACTTATCACAATATTTTAAGCAGTCACTAGAAGTTTTTGTAACAGGATGCCAACCAAAAGTATGAGCATTGGTTTCCGAGAAGAATACCTTGAACTTGGATCATTATGTTCCTCGCAAATAGATTCATTATCAATGGATTTCTGAGAAAGGTGGAATATCCACCTCATCCCAAAATAAACTTGGGGGAAAAACATGATATCAATAACACGTCCTTAGAACTAACATTGGAACAAAGATACAATCAGGAATCTGTCACAACATTAGTCAATTCTATACAAAATGGATAATAATTACACATTATCATAGTGCTAATCATCCAACTCTATTATCAAAGGCTTCAACTATTTCTACTTCAATCACCAACAAGAAGAACAATAGAAGCAAAAAATGCCTTCAAAATCCAATAACTCGAGAAAATTATAAAGAAAGATGTAAACTATCCACAAAGAAGCGAAGATTAATCGAATTCACTCACATCCTTCTGGGGGTCTTCCGTTTCGGGAGCAAAAGAGGGAGGGACGCCGCCTGGATCGGTGAGGACGGTGACAAAGAACGAGAACAAGCACATGAAGGCAAGCCAGCTAAAGATCAGAGCGTTGAGGAGGCCGGGGCCGGTGCCGAGCCCCAGCCAGTCGTCGATGAAGATGAACACCGTAGTGTAGTACACGAATCCGATCAGCGAGATCACCAGGAGCACGGGCGGCGACATGAACCTCCCCTTTTCTCTCCTCATCTCTCCGATCGATCTCGGAGATGAGAAGAGAGAGAGAGGGGCGAATCCAACGGAAGAGGGTTTCTTTTCGTGGGGAGTTTCCGCTCCCTCCAGTGTAGACCGAAACCCCACCGTCCATATTTGGTTGCACGAATCGTGAAGCGAAATCGTCGACCCGATGCGCCTGAACTGGAGACGGTTCGGCGTCTTTCCAGTACGGCACGCTCGATGCCGCAAATCAAACGCTGCACTGATCTTAAATTACGATCGATGGCGTAAATCACGCCACGTTGATGTGCACAGAACTGGGCCCTCCATTTCCCACGTTTTAGGTCCGTCGCTTCATTCGAGGCTACTGGGCCCCTCCAATTACGTGATTTAGTGCTTCAAGCTATGTTGTCAACTTCCACTGATAAGATCTAATATGCTTTGCAATGGGAAACTTATTAGACTTTTGTTGTAGGTTGATTTAAGTAGCTTAATGGGCTTGTTCGATTGGACTCATCCGAACTATATTGGTCACGATGGACCCATCCACAATGTCAATCTTATGGATGCCAATTCATGCATGACCTTTTACAGACTTGATTAAGATACTTAAACATCTCTTAAGATATGAAGTAGGACTGCAAGCTGACTACTCCTTTATGGGTTATAGACGCCCACCATATGCTTTGTGAATCATTGTGGATTTGTAACAACTTTCCATGGGTTTTTGGACCTTTACTCAAACTAAGATCCAAGTTTCACAAATTTCCTTCTTGTTCCAACTTATCCATGAAAATTTTCTTTCTATATATATATATATATGATCATCTAAGGTAATTAGATGATCTTTAACTTTCATAAGGCTGATTGGTAGAGATTGAGATTAGTACTAGAAACCCATGCTGTGTTGTTGATTCTTTGATATGAACAGTCGAGAGTTGAAGGATGGTTTATATACTTCCTCTCGTAGCATTGTTCGAGGAAAAGAACGCTTGATCAGTGAACGCTTCATCTTCTTCAAAACTGTAGCAACTCATCTAATTAGATGCGTAATTAATCTAACACTGTATGCATATAATTTAGAAAAAGGGGACGACTGCCACATACATTTAAAGAGATGGAGATTGCTATGCACTGTAATGCATGGCTAAAGAGTGGTTTCAATATTCGTCGGATTACAAATGGGATGTCCAAGATGGGTTCTTACGGAAGTAGGGGCCAACACGATCGAAACAAGCATGAGAAGATGGCACAGATCATGGCATGCATGCTTGTTCCAGGTTCTCTTCCACATTTCTCGTTCGCAGCAACCGCAACACAAAACGAAGAAGCGGAAAGCTGATCAGGGCATGCAAGCTCGATTAACCTGTTGAGCGGCATCAGGTGGCAAGACCTAAAAAGGATAGCACTGCATCTCGAGGGATGCACAGTTGACAGAGACCACGCCACCCGCACTGGCTTACCGGTACCAGGTTCTCGAAAGACGCAGTAGAAATATATTTCATAGTACTAGGTTGTTGCCCACAAGGAAGACATGAAGCCCCACAAGGAGGAAGGCAGTCACATGAGCTTGTTTGCTGAACCCACCCCTGCATGCTGCCATGCCATTCTTTATTTCTGCTCCTGGACCAGATGTGCAGCTCCACACAAGCATCACCAAATAAACTGCAGCAGCTCCTGTTCCAGCATCTGCCCCAGATCATTTCATTATATTTTTCACGCAAAAGGAGGGGTCGAGCGAGGACGTCAATGCAGCAGCACAAGGTGCCGGATTAGCTTGGTCAGATGCTGTCATACATTGCTTTAGCGGCTGTAGTTACATGTGGGATGCACTTCGCCTACGGTCTCAAGGCGTTCATGACACTGTGGGATGGATGAACTGGATGGGTGTTCGGTCCACTCGCAGATCATGATGTGTATGTAGAAGAACGCCAAAAGGCGATTGCTAGTGATGGCGAAGTTTGATTTGGCCTCTGATAGGATAGCATGGGGCCGGCCCTCTTGACGAAGACCTTTGCAGAAATATGTGGATTCTGTATCACTCACTCACTGCACATATATCTGTAATCTGTATCTATTTGTATACCGACGATAATCTATTTTGAACAAAAAGGGTCTGATAAAGTCGCAGAGTGAATCGATAGGAGAGGAAGAAATCACATCTCAAACTGCTGCAATATTTTGTGCATTGAGGTGAGCATTGCATTGCATTAATAACCTGATATTGACATTAGATAGTGATGTATCATTGGTAAGAATTACCTATATATTGGTCCACACATTGCTATCATCTACTATCATTTCATATCATCGACATGGATATTTTCTACCGAAAGAAAAGATCCTCCCGGACTGTTCTCGTTGTTAGGCTGTTGCCATCAGGGAATATTTTTCTTCACCTTTCATTTGCCAATCTAATGGTCGAAATGATAGGCAGACAAATGACCGATACTCCGGAATGTGCTAAAGATCTACCAATCTATCTATCTATCTATCTATCAAGTCGATAATACATATCAATGAGATAAAAAAGACAGCTACGATAAGGAGTCAAATACCACCAAATGATTGAGAAGGAAAAGAAAAGATCATAAATAAATGACCAATCAGTTGCTATTCATTTTCTTTATCTTCGGCAAGAATACATCTTATTTATGGTTGCATTGAGAACAATGAACCGAATACATTGTCCTTAGTCCTCCTCAGGTATCCCTGTAATAAGATTCCATATTAAATATTATTTTCATTAAAGCACCATATATAGAATTGCAGTCTGATCAGTAGGCATCATCACTATATTGCTGTCTCAAAAGAATATCTAAGAGAAATTGATGAAAGTACTACAGCACTATATTATTGCTATGGCAATCACTACTTTTGTTTGTCTGATCTTGATCATTGCTATCGCTTAATCTTAATAGTTGGCATCACAGAATACTGAAAACTATGCTTCATCTTTACCTAATTGTGATCATTATAAGCAATATTCTGCTAAGCCAATAGGAAGCTTTGATTTATTCTGATATATAATATAACCCAGCTATGTCATGAAAAAGCAATTTAAGCCTTCCTGAGGTATGCAAATACTGGAAGAGAGTGCGGTGAGCAGCTCAGCCGTCTGTTCTCCGTGTGTATGATTATTAGATAGGTTTACTGAGTCACTGAGATGGACCACATCATCAAATTTTTGCTAGCAAAAGCATATGATCTACATCACCAAAAAGCTAAGTGTATGACACAGGTTACATGTACCATTTAGATGGACCACAGCAAGCATTAATTCAGGAGTCAACAAGGGCCTGCAAGCTGATCATAAGATGTTTGTGTGCCAGCTCAGTGGCTCATGGTTGTATCCTCTCTCAGAGAGACAAATGACAGATGAGATTCTCTACCATTGTTGCAGCTGCCAGCACTGTAAGAACAAAGCCATGATCATATCAGTTAAACTTTTGGTTCCTTTTTGCCTGAGTGACATACGATAAAACTTTTCAATGCATCTCTCCCTAGTATGCATCATATGAGTTGGCCATCGCCCTGCTCAGGTGGTGATTGATTCTAAGACATTTGAGGTTGGTCCACTGAGACAATCGACAGCACTTGAAGTGACAGTCTATACAATGGGAATCTTCTTTATCTCCGCGTAAAATGACATGTTTGATGATCAGATGCTAAGGGAAAAATGCGTTCAACTTCATTGCTCGAGTGACTACAACAACAAAATGAAAACTATTCACACCATTAATATGCGTATTATTATTTTGTTTTTTGGGAAATTTTTAAGAGGAACAGCAAGAGAACAAATTGGTCCTCCTGCAAGGACAGGAGCACTACAATAATTTGATGCCGATCCACATGTCATGAGACCTGCGACGACGACGGCCATGGATTCGAATTGATGGTCCCAGAGGTCTCATGAGACTTGCGTTGCCCAAATGCTGATGTCTCCTGAATTGTACCTGGATATGCTGATGATGGACTGTTTACTGATCTGGTGTGCCTGCACTGCAAGTGAATATCACTTCTTTGATACTGGGGTTGATTCCTGTTTCATCTTTTCAGCTGCTTAGAGAGAGAGAGAGAGAGAGAGAGAGAGAGAGAGAGAGAGAGAGTTGCAGCCT